CTCTAGAGAGGTAATAGTATTTTTTGATCAAGTTTTTGACAAAACTTTACCTTTATGAACTTGTAGTTTCAACGACAGAAGAATTCATGCCTTTCACTGATTATTACAATTAATCAGCAGCTTTTAGGTGGTCAAAGCGGATTAAAGGCGCTTATATAAGAAATATGGGCGTACATCTCGCCAGAACACCATGTTGCCTGGCTCGCAAGTCTGCTAATTGCCACCTATTCCTTGGCTAATTGAACCGAAGAAGCGTGAGGTAAAATTTGCTTAGGGAAATCAACGTTTAAGACAAATGTTACCTTAATTTTTCAGGATTCGAACCGAGCGCCTCCGGATTTGGATGCTTACACAGTTTCACACTGGCACCGCACCCATTTTTAAGATAGCTACGGCCAACGCACAAGATTCGACGGAAATGTGAGACTATTCAGACTTGTTCTAATTCTATTGAACGCGATTTTCTGACCATGGGGTACGGACAGGGGACACGAAAGAAATTACATTCATTATGGAAACAGTTCGGCAGCTGGAATTGCCGAGATTACGAAACTCTTATAATGCTGATCAGTATCACAACATTTACTGAATGCTTTCCTCGCTTTATTCTGAAGTTGTCTCATAGATTGATAATCAGGACTGTGTTTAATTAAAGACTCAATAATTAAAGGTATTAAAATCCGAGTCAAATTAATCTTGGCCAGTTTATTACTAAGCCTCAAATTAATTGGTTTCTGTGTGGTAGTAGTTCGTTATTCCAGAAGATCAAGAAAATATCTGGAGGATTTGTAATTAATATGCCAACATTAATTCCATTCAGATTTTCATTCAAATTTCAGTGTTTTTTAATTTTGTGTTGATTGAACCTTCAAGAATAGCTTAGAATATTTTTTACATAACATTCCTCATAATTCTAAAATGGTCGTAGAAGAGTGTGTTGAATTATGTTTAAAGAATCGATTAGCAAAAATTTCAAAAAATTAAGGTTTAAATTTTGAATAAAATTGATACTTACGTTTTATTTATTTATCGTCTATATCATGCCAGTTCGGTCTTTAAAAAGTCACTGACCTACTTCTTAGGGTGCTTTCACACATTCTGTTGGGTTTTCTGTAACATTGAAGGTAATATGGACTGATCCTTCTTAGTAATTAACAGGAATCACTATTGCCCAGTCTCGATGCCCACGTTGTTTTCTCTCGAGCGACTTGTTGCCACAAACTTCCATATCTTCATTTTAGCTTTTCGACTCATCCTAGCCGAGGTTCTCGAATTGAGTGCTTGCAGCACTGAAGTACCAATCCGATTGCCAAAGTCCATCCGTCTTCCGTTACTCCTTCGACGTAGTCCACTTTAGTCTGACTTTTGCTCCCTGTATGGGGCTGGAGGCCAATTTTGCTTGTGTGTTTTCCATTCCACTCGATTTTTGCTAGTGCCCGCGCTTGCCAGGCGTTTTGAACAGAATGTCCGTCTGCCATTCACTTCGGCTGAACGAGGTTGCAGGCCATGACTCCGTGAAAATCGTTCAGCTCAGGGTTTTCTTCAGTGAATCTGAGTACAGCCATCTCTTTTTCCGGAGATTCCTCCTCTACCTCATCTTACTCAAAGTAACAGCGAGTTGAAATAGCATAATGGTTTCCGCGTGACCGAACTGCCCGCATCATATGCCATATGCATTGTATTTTTAGAATATGATTGCAGAATTGGGCCTTTTGGTTTTAATGTCTTTCTACTTGGTTTTCAGTAAATATCGTTCTAATAAGCAAGTTTTTCGAACAACACGAGGCACCTCATTAACCTCAGTTTGACCCTGATATATTGTCAATGATTACTCATTGCTAGAGAGTACCAAATACTAGCTTCACTAGTTGAAAGACAGTAAATACCAAATATCCGGGGGCCAACACCAAGTTTGTAAAGACGTACTCGAAGCAAACCTGCAGTCATATAGAAGTAGCTCCTTCACGGATGCAGTATTGGACAAGCCTAAAATCACGACCCTGTCTGTTATCCATCGGACGTCATTGGATTAAACACTACGGTCAGGCTGTAGAGTTTAACTGACGTTGGGCGCAGCAACCAGGAGGCTGTCGACTACGCTACGAGGTGAATGGCACTTCATTCATGCCTTTGCCTTTGGGAGCTTCAAGTCAGCGGCTCACAATTTGAGGAAGAACCAACTGATGGTACCTCTGCTGTCGCAGTTAGTAAACGAAAACCGGCTTCCATTCCTTTTAAATGGGATCCATGAGGTTTCACGTAATTAGCCAGCGTAATTTGCTGTTTTGTTTCTTCATCATCTGGACTCTGTGTCGTAGGCAGGCGGATTAGCGTTACTTTAGGCGTTGTTCACTGCCTTCGTGAAGGAGAACGTAATTGTAATGAATCGCAGGTCTGTCTGAAGGGTACCTTTCCACATTCGGTGTTACCTCCAGGGTAGCTGCTTGAATCGTTTGGTTCCCACAGGAGAGCCTGATACCTCAGTGGCGTTATGCCATCGATCACGAATCGGCTCAACCAGCCACATCAAGTTGAAGTTTCGTGACCTCGTCGCAGGTAACACCTCCGGATTGGTCACTGGACGATTCCAGCAAATCGCTGAATGCAAGCTATGCAGAATCCTTAGTGGGAAGCCATTCACTTTGAGTTTCATCGTCGGGCTGATGCCTTGTTGACCAGAATGTTTACATCGCCATTATTCAAGTCTTCGGAAGGATGGGTTTTGGCTATGCGTTGATGCCTCGAAATGGAACAACGACGCCGTTGACGAACCAAACTTTGCCTTGATTCCAGAAGACCGTCGGCTGGCGTTGCTGCTTCGTCTGGCAGGACAGAGGTTTGCGTTGTGCCGATGGCTGCGCGCAGAGGTTGTTGGCAAACAAGATGGCGTAGTCTTGGTGCTAAACTAATAGCAGCAGATGGTGCAAGATAGTCCTCTGGCGTTTTACAACTTGCCTTCACGATCTCGTACATGACTTTACTGTGGTGGGCTGACAAAACGGGCTTTAACGGCAAGATTTATGACTCGTTGCGTAGTAAATCTTCGCCGTTCCGTTTAATGGTCAAACAAGAATATCTGTGCTTCGCGCCTTCACGATGACAATCGATGACCACCGGCACGGATTCATTATTCTTTTGGCATATGGGACAGAATCGCAATTTGATTGGTCGACTTGTCGAAGGTGATAAGGACGAGCTGGCATAATTCGGCCTGCAACGCCAGAGGCGGCCTAGATCAATTGCTTGAGAAGAGCAGCCGATGTCGTACATGCAAATTCCCTTGAACAACGAATTTACCTCACGTTTACTTCGATGCCACCAGCCGATAAACAAATATTGAGGTGGGTCACTGACCTGCGAAAAACAGTGGCTTCACGGTGCTCTGGTACAAAGACACCGCAAAGAGTGAGAGGTAACACCATGCTCTCTGATGTGAGTGCCTCAGAGGACAGCAATGCAATTCGTTTCGAC